CAGTTGCAATCCACTGGGGTATCTAACCCTTGCTAGGGTCGAGCTTTACATAGACTCAGGACTCTGAAACTCAATGGTCTCAGGACCCTGCAACGCAATAGACTCAGGACTCTGCAATGCAATAAACACAGAACCCTGCAACGCAATAAACTTAGGACTCCACAGCCAGCATCGGCCACTCTCAGCACTCACCGATCGGCAGGGGCTCCTTCCTCATCCGGCCACTCGGCTCCTCTTTTCTTTTAGTTCCGGCCATGCGTCTCCGTTCTGTGTGCCCTATAGATTTGACTGCCACCACCTGCCAATCACGCCCTCAGACAGCTACCTATGTAATGGAGGTGGTTAAGTATGATTATGACAAAATGCCATTGATTTTACACTGATTGGAGTTGGTGTGATATTCATTTCCTCTCTGTGAGAGTATACTCTATTGAATCAGGCCAGGCGGCAGATATAAGTACGAAAGCTTTGATCCGATCTAAATTTGTGAGCAGGTCCAAAACACCTACACTAGAGCTGGCGTTCTGTGAGAAATGGCTGGCTATCAACAATCCCGGCAGTCCCGTTGCCCAGTCTGCCTCTGCCTCAGCCAGTCTGCTCCCTTGCCTGCCGCTCCAGGTTAGAGGTATGGCTGCAGTGGGCCCCTTTTCCCCTGCAGTAAAGATGGCCCGGACTAAATATATTAAGAAAAAAATACTTTTACACAACTAATGTAAATAGCAAAGACACTTTTTCTTGACAAGCTTTTGTTCTGATGCATGAATATATCCAGTCAAATGTATCCAGTAAAACCTCCATTTTGTATATAACTAAAACTGCATGTGCACGGCCACAAAAATGTCAGATCAGGGTTACAATGAGAGATAAGACCAAATAACCAGGGTCCTGACTTTTAAATTCTTTATATGACCATATAAAATTCCTTGCATCTGAACAAAACATATAAGGTGTTATTTGTCTCATTAGCGTGGTTCTTATTATTTTAATACATTTTGCAACACACTGGAAAGTCCTTTACCCAAGTAGAAATATTTTCCTTTTCCATATTAAGAATTTAATGTACCATATCTTGTAACAGTTGGAGACTGGAAACTTCTTAATTAGATCCTGAAGGCCATCAATGCTGGGTATAGGCAGAAATCCTCTGAAGCCACCCACTTGCTGCTAGTCATGTGGAGAATCAATTCAGTTTTCCATTGGATAGCACAATTCCAGGCTGTGCAGTTCTCTATCAGCTATGATGACTTTATAATCTGGTAAACTGTGTATTTGGCATTGGGCATTGCTAAGTACAAATTAAATAAAAGTCAGTTTAGTGCTTGTATTACAGCTTAATATGAAAGTAACTGCTAGATCAGTTAAACAATCAAAATACGTGTTTGCAGTGTACAAATTCCACTTTTCAGATAGTGGAACAAGAATGATGGGTATTTTCTTCTTTTAGCATGTAAGATAGAACTGTATATTGAAATTACCTATGAATATTTACTATTATCCAGGGCCATCTTAACAAAATGCAGGGCCCATGGCAAACCTATATCACCTATACCTATATCATTGAGTAATATTAGTTCCTTTTGATAATCTTCAGTCTCCACTAAATAATGAAGAGAAGGTCAATGCTTCTGTACAGACTAATGATGTCTCCAGCAAAAAGACAATGAAATATGTGCTTTTTTGGGGGTCTTGCTGTCTTTTAGCCCAATGGATAACTACATTCATCTCTTTAAGTGAACCTCTGTACCCCTTAAAGTGACTCTAAACTCAGGAGTTAAATCTTAAAAATCTATTCAAGTACCTTAACTTTTAACAAAAATGTATCTTATTTGTGTATCACTCGGCTGTAGATCCTCAAATCTTCTCTGAATTCATGCTGACACTGTCCTTCCTTCTGGAGGGTGGCTACTTTCGTTCCCCATGGTCCCTGTGTGTGTTGAAAAGTAGCCACCTCTCCAAGCTTGCTCCCATGACGGACTACAATCTCAATACAAATTAGTAAGCTAAATGTGAAATAGTAGTCCATCACAGGAGTGAGCTTGGAGCGGTGGCTACTTTACAATGCACACAGGGACCATGGGTAACAAAAGTAGCCACCCTCCAGAAGGAAGACAGTGTCAGCACTAACTCAGAGATGATTTGAGGATCTACAGCTGAGTGATGCCCAAATAAGATACATTTTTGTTGTTGTTTTAAGATACTTAAATGCATTTTTAAAATTAACTTCTGAGTTTAGTGTCACTTTAAGTCTCCTAAACTGCTGGCAGACATTTATAGCAGACACTACCCTGCCGGCTACCAGGTAGAACTGCCTAGAGTTGTGTATACAAAGAACAAATCCAGTTCCCAGAGTTGCGCTTGGCTCTGTCCCGTTTTGGCTCTCATATTTTACTGTTGATCCATCCTCATTTTGGACAGCCTCAGTGACCAGGTGGTGGGGCCAAGTACAAATAAAGTTGCCATTAGTATATTGGAGAGTCATTAGCCCCATTCACACTTCAATGTCAGAGTCTCTGGTCAGTTTTCTTGCTTGTTTTTGTGCATGTCTTTTGTGCTTAAGCATTTTTGTTGTAGCCAATTCAACGCTAGTTTAAAGGGGAGAAGAAAGTTGTTAGGTGCAAAATTGTGCAAAAACTGTACGTTTTGAAGTCTATTGATCAATGATTGTAATATCAATATATCAGTGCTACATAAATAATGGATATAAAGTTCTGAAAAATATATAAATAGATCTTTCAAATGAACTATCATGAGTTTTATGTGTTTCAGCCTTTTAAATTAGCTGCGGGACCCGGAGACTTGTATATTAATAAGATTTATTCCTGCACTTGCCGTCACCAAATGGGCACATGGGTACAATTATGGTACAGAGAGTAAAGTAATGAATTCGTGATATGCACAGAAAAATAAATGGTAGAGATGAAAGTCATTAATTCCTCTGCAATTAAGATCATATAGTCTCCTGTGTATTTACATTGTATGGTGTGTAAAGTTGTACTATAAAAAAATGCACCTAATGTTAATTAGGATTATAAACCAGAAAATATTTATAAGTAAATTGAATCTCGTAGAACTTTGTACTTCTGGCTAAGATTATACCTCTGGTGAAATTTCCAAGCTGCAACATAAATATTGAAAGTTATGTTTATTATTGAATATGTTGTAACTGTTGGCATAATGTACAGTGTATTTGCCCATAGCTATACCACCAATCAGGCTGTAGTGCCATCTGCTGGAATATTAAAAGTTTGACTGGTTAGCTTAATGCTTGAATTTCAGTCTTATTATACATCTAAAGCAATTTAATGGCAAGTATAAATATCAATAAATTATTTTAAAAAATGTATATGTTAAAAAAACATTTATATTATAATGTAAACAATTCAGCTGCTCACTTAAAACACACGCTGTATTTCAATAATTTAACCTACTTTTTACCTGTTAATAAAAATTATTTAACTTTATCTTCAAAATACAATTTCCATTAGACATAAATGAATAAGGAAACCTCCCAGTTCCCTCAATCTATGTATTCTTTATTTTAACCTTATTTCAGGGTCTGGATCCACTATTTGCTGTTCTTCTTTCTCATTACAGATTTTATTAAAACATGGCACTTCACTAAAAAGATACCAGGTCATAGTGCATATTGACCTAGTAACCACATAGCAAGTGTTTTACAAGTATGTTTCCTGTGCCTCAATGAAACAGAACATGGAGCATACAAATTTCTCAGAATCTCATAACCTCTGCTATAATAAATTTGTATACATTCATCAGTCCTGCTGGAAACTGCAGTATAAAGATGTGGGAGATATCTGCACCCCAGAGTTTCTCTATAGACAGGTTTCAGAATACAGTGCAATAATAACTCTTTTTAAAAAAGGGGTGCAAGGAAGCTGACCAGCAATGGAGGGTGCCCAACAGCACAGGGCTGGTATTTTGAGAGGGGGTCCATTTGTTTTGTACACTTCAATCATCCACTTGATCTTGACGGACAAATAGGCTTCCATTAACATGTCAGGGGACCCTTTCTCATGACTTTCTTGCTGTAGAGATATCAGACTGTATGCTAGATGTGCTCTGCTGCTATAGTTAAATTAATATAAAGTTTAATTGATTCCAATCAAATCTTGAACCATCAGTTAAGCATGTCTAGCTGTGATGTCAGGATATCTTATGACGTAAACAGGGCTGTTATATAAGAGTTTGATAGCTTCTTAGAAGTGTGAGATTAACCTCTTGATTTTTACTGCAAAACAAACACATGGACAGACTAAAGAGATGTGAGTAGTAACAATTAGAACAAATAGATGCTTCACAGCTGCAGTCTCCACCTCTGATGATGACTCCACTTTTGATATCTTTCACACCTTTGCCTTTTCTTCCGAGTTGTCCACTGGCTTTTCCTTCCGCTAATATTGATTACAAACTACATAACGGATTAGGCCCCGTTCATACGGCATCCTTTAGCATCTGTTAGCACTCGTTTTTCTACAGATGTCAATGGATGCCAACAGAAGGTAACCCGAAAAATGTATGGGTGTGAATGGGACCAGTTCACATTGCTGCGTTGCAGTGCGCATGCTCTAGTTTTTTTCATCGCGACACAAAATGTCAAAAAAGGATGTTAAAGAAACGCAAGTAAAAAAAAATACATATAAGTTTGTCCACTCAGGACATGTTAATTAAAATTAATTTAAAAAAAATAAAAAATACAAAACAAGTCAACAGAAGTTTAAATTGCAAGTCAACGGACCTCAGTTGACTTACGTTTGCCTGGTCCGATCTTGGTGTGAATGGGCCCTTAAGTTACTCTCCAATATGACGAGCATAAAAAGTAAGAACTGTGACATGAGCTTTTATTATGCAACCTACAGTGAATGGAATTCTAGCTAGAGCACCAGCATCAAGAATATAGTTATGAGGAATGGGGGTCACAGAAGAACATGTGCAGTTGCACCAGCACAATCCTGTTTAATTCACGCATTTCTTTCTTACAGGGTAGGTCTTCTCTTACCCATGAAAAGGAGCGCTTTGCCCATTCACACAAGGAAATGAAGAGTCTGGCAGATGTTGTTAAAGATATCAAACCAACAGCTTTAATAGGTGATATGTTAACTCTAGTTATAGACACTTTCTTAGTTCTGTATTACATGGTCATATTTATTATAGCATTGCTTATTTTTTAGGCGTTGCAGCTATTGCTGGAGCTTTTACTGAGCAGATTTTGAAAGACATGGCTGTTTTGAATGACCAACCAATTATATTCGCCCTCAGCAATCCAACAAGTAAAGCAGAGTGCACTGCAGAACAGTGTTATGCCCTGACTGAGGTAAGAACACCTGGTCCCTATTATAGTCCTTTGCTTCAACTTTCCACTGAGCAGCAAATGGAATCTATCACTATTAGTCTAGTATTTCATTTTATAGGTCACAAAATGAACTGAATTTTACAGGAACAGTCAAAAAAAAAAACACAAAGAGCTTGCATGTGTGTCTTACAAGAGTTGTCAGATCAAATACCTCTCTCTAGGAAACACCTGCCTTGCCACAGCCAAACATTCACTTAAACAAATTTGGGTGATTTTACCTTACGTGGTGTTGCACTCTGTTGTTCATTCTCCAAGGGAATTCTGTGAGCACTGAGTAACAAGAACATCACCCACCGCTGTGTCTTCCACAGGGCATCTTCCTTTACGCAGTATGAAACATATTCTCAACATGCATACTGGTCCTTCAGTCCCTACCTTTATTTCTGATTAGAGCAAACAATATACACGATCTGTGCAGTTCCGCCTCTTCCTGCAATTATTATGCAAGGCACAAGGATAGAGCAAGTGGGTTTGCTGAAGCAGTGAGTTCATCAATAGTAGCTTGGCACAGCTACTATGAGTGGCAGTGGAGGGGAAAACCTATGTTAGCACACTGTCCTCCATAATAACTTATTGGAACTAGTTCATAAATATGTAGTTTTTCTCAGTGAGCAAAATAGAATGCATGAGAGACTATTTACAAAAGGGCGCAATTGTTATTTCACCATATTTCCATAGTCATTTTTTTCCAACAGCCTTACCTATATATAATACTGTTCTAGACTATTTCTACTCTCATTTTATTGCATAGTGACAGAGGTGACTTCTAAATAAGCCTCGTAGTCTATACACAATGCATTTCAACAACATTATTCCTATAATATTACATATGTATTTAAAATATTTATGTGTATTATTTACCTGTAAAAGTCACCCTAGTGTAGACATCAAAAGGCCCTGAATTTACTGTTGTGTGCTGCCTTCTTGGATGTGATCTCAGCAGCCCCTGCAGACTTAGAGTTGTCATCCTGGTGACACTATAGTACTCTCCATTACTCCTCCACCAGCAACTACATAAAAAGGTTGTGTAGGGAGGTGAGGGGCAGAGGAGCTAGGCTAGCACATAGAGTATTTAGACACTCGTAGAAGAGAGGAGGGCTATGACATGCAAGGATGGAGGGGGCTGTTCTAGGGAATTGACTCTTCCTGAAGAAGTCAAATCTGCTAGAAGGTTTAAAGACGTATTGCAAGTGAACAACAAATAGTTTGTAGAAAGTAAAAACTCTGCAACCAAGCAATTAACATTTTCGATTTTTCTCTCCTTTACCTGCATTTTTGATTGTTGACCGGGTATCTTTAATACAGAATTCTGGGTCCTGGTAAATTGGTCCTTGCTGCTGCAAACTCCACCATTTGCCATCCACAGAACAAAGAAATTCATCAAAATAATTTGCCTAAATACCAGGAAATGAATAATAGGGTGGAGCTGAGGCATCCAATTTATGTCAGCATTGTACAGCTCATACCAGATCATTAATACTCTCCCACATGTGTGCCCATCTGACAATCAGCAGAATCTTCCAGATTGCTAATCGTATCCTAGCAAATCAATTACTATGAAATACACAGTAACATATTCTTTCCATTTAGCTGTTTAAAAAATGATTCATAGTTAAAACTCATGTCCACCTCAACTGTAAGACTCCCCAGGTTTGCAGAAACTAAAGAAATGATTATAAATGCATGTTTTTTTCCTCTTTCTAATTTTCCACTGCAGTCCGCAATTAAGTAGCTTTGTGCACACAAATAATTTTTGCCAGTTAATAAACATGACAGTCAGAAGAACAAGTAATCTAAGCACTCCATCGTCTAATGATATTTTTCTTAAACACAGGGCCGTGGAATTTTTGCAAGTGGAAGTCCTTTTGATCCCGTCACGCTTCCAGATGGACGAACACTTTATCCTGGGCAGGGAAACAATTCCTATGTGTTCCCAGGTGTGGCCCTTGGTGTTGTTGCATGTGGCATGAGGCACATAAGTGATGATGTTTTTCTGGCCACTGCTGAGGTAAGAAGCACCAGGAGTAAGATGAGAGGTCACTGTAAACTGCAATTCAGGCCATGCATTTCAACTATATTTCATTCTAATAACATTTTACAATCATAACACATTGGATACATGCTTACCCTGCAGAGACTTCATGTGTTATTTTCCATTTTACCAGCAAGTAATTCCATTATGGTTGTGGATTTAAACTCCCTAAGCTTCAGGAACTAGGTCTGTCTGCAATTCACTATATTATCTGCAGAAAGAGGTTTACTATCACACTAGCACACATTCATGAACACATTAATATGGAATATCTACAAAAACTCTCACAGGCTTAAATATCTGTTTTTGGTTTAGTTTTAGACATTGTATGAACACAGTTTAACAGGAGTTCAGTCCATTTGAAATCAGCATGAAGCCTTTATTGTATTGCGGTCTTTATTCTATGAGGGGAATTTATCAAAACTGGAGCAGACAAAAACTGGAGCAGCTGTGCATGGCAACCCATCACTTTCTTTTTTTCATTTTCAAATCTTAAAGTGACATTAAACCCTCAGATTTTTTAACATAAACCAATACTGTAATGTGTGCCTTACTGTAATCCATGGTAGTTTCCCTTCTCTTTGCTGCTCTTCCTTTTAAATCCTCATGTCTTCTCATGCTTGGGGAGAACTTCCCTTTGCAGCTGAGTGCCTCTTCCTGTAGTGCTGGCTCAGGTTGTGAACCTTCACACAGACACCATGTAGCCATTCCAGAGACAAGGCAGTCTGCTGCAAAACAGAAGTTCTGTCCAGCATGAGAACAGCTACAGATTTAAAAGGAAGAGCAGCAAAGAGAAGGGAAACAACCATGGATTACAGTAAGGCACACATTACACTATTGTTTTATGTTACAAAATCTGAGGGTTTAATGTCACTTTAACTGAACAAACTGAAGGGAGAAACTGGTTGGTTGCCATGCACAGCTGCTCCTGTTTTTGTCTGCTCCAGTTTTGATAAATTCCCCAGTGGCTGCAGCTGATTGGCTTTTCTTTTATTTTTAGTTTCAAAAGACTTTTATTTTTCACAAATACAAAGCATTTAGTGCATGTACTCAAACATAGTGCGCATGCATGGATAACGGTTCAAGCATAGATAATGATCATAACATGAAATATGCTCATCAAACATGGCAATCTATTGCAATCACCTGAACTATGTGCAGAAAAGGTGAAGCTGATTGGGTTTTCTAACCAAACCGGGTGGTGCCAGCAGGACCAACCATTTCAGCCATTTCAGCTGGAAACTTTTTTTTTGCACGGCCCGCACAAATTTGCTTCAGATTTGCAAAAAAACATGGTAAAAAAGTATTTGGTACTACATTTTTATTGTTATGCTTTGTAACCTGTATTAGAGCTAATTATACCAACAAACCTGTATTATTAAAGCTAATCATCCCAACAGAATCCATTATGTATCACAGTCCCAATACCCATGGACCCTTTGGAGTTGATTTACTAATGGAATAAAGACTATATATTAAATAAACTTAATGTTTACAGAGCTTAGTTGATTAAATGAAGCTATGTTCACTGCAATCAACCAAAATTGTTGCCTTAAATCCCCTTTTTAATTTTCTTAATACATAAGTGGGCATATTAACTAAACACTATTTACTTTGCATGCACTTTTTAAAGTGAACAGCTTCTACTCCTTTAGTAAATAAACCAAAGTGCACCTTACTAATTCAGAAATTAGTTTTCTGTACATTTTTCATTGCTCTGTGGAATTTCAGCTAATGATATGCAGCACGTGCACATCTTGGCGTCTTTACAGCATAGATTACATTTTTTTATGGGATTATTTATACAGTTAGTTGGGAATCCAGGTAACAGTGCCAAAACTGTTTTATTAGTTCATAAAATCCTTGACATTTTTGTTCTGCTTGGTAAAACTAATAAAAACAGGGAACATAGCCTGTCATCACTGTGAAATTGTCTGCAATTAGAAGGTATTACAGCTTGAAATACCTTACATTTATCAACTGAAATCAAAGTTGCTCCCTGTTTTATTTGGCTTTAGAAAGTGAACACCTGAGTATTAGCCTGTCTTGCTGACAATAAATGAACTCTTACTTTAATCACAAAAGTGAGAGAGGTGACAAAGCATGATCTCATACAACCTCATGGCTTGTTACTAACAGTCATTCATAATCAGTTATATGATACAAGAGAGAAATGAGGAATTGAAAGGACAAAGCTACTTTCAGGTACAAGCAGGGGTAGGAAGTACATAAACTGCTCTCACATTCATGCATCTAATCCCCACTTCTGCAGCTGCTAGTAGTGATTATTAATTGTTACAAATGGATTTGCTTAGGTATATCCTAGATTCATTATATACAGTTGTAGTATTTTCTGTATCCATCCATTTAAGCACAGTTTATATATTAGATTTTAGATATATCTTCCTTGCTTGTGATATTTAAAAACAGTATTTAGAAAAACCTTTGGTTTGGAAGCATTTATGGCTGCCATTATTGACTGTTCTGAAAATGCTAGTTCCCTGCTATCATGGTGATCCAATTGGCTACAGTACTGTCTTACCACTGGCTCAGAACATGTTTGCATATTAGGGGTCCTGAATCTTTTTTGATCTGCTTCCTGATGACTTTCCCAATCTTCATGCTTGTTCCAACAATAGCAGCCTTTCGCTCAATACAGCTTTTCTTTAAGATGTAGCAACAGCGATAACCTAAATCAGCATTTCAGTCACGGCACCCAAAATCTTGAGGCTCCCCAGACTAAAATATACCCAACCCTGGCTGCACAAAGATCTTGGTGTGTCTGAAATCTCACGAGACTTAATAGGCAGAAGAGAATAAAAACAAGAAATAAATTCCATACATGAAGGCTGAGTCTATTCAAATATGGCAGCTCCAGAATACATTTTGCATAGTGTATTCAAACTGTGTATGGATCAGAGACATTGGCAGATCTGATTAGTAATTATATTTAGGGTGAATCTGTGCTTCAACTAAGCGAGGCAAAGCAACAGGTTCACATATGTCACCTCCCCCACGCGTTCAAGCAAATTAATTGGCTGTTCAGGCATTTAGAGATACATTGTGGGAGGAATGGGGAAAGAGACACATACCCTTCACCTGAAAGTATGGAGTATATCTTATCACTCTAGGTGGCTAAATGAATCAGTGGGGAAGTAAAGGAAGGGTATAGGTGGGAGGAGCTGAGGAGTTAGCACCATGTAAGCTCAGTTTAAAGCAACTTGGAGCTTAAACAAAGCATCTTCTCCTCACAGTGGAAGAACAGAACAGCAGGGAAGCTAAGGAAAGGTGAGTATAAGCAGGTAGGGGGTGAAGGGGCACACTGAAGTGAAGCTGTTGCTTTGCCCTGCATGGCCTGTGGAAATAGAAACGTGGGAGCTGACATTGTTTACAAGCTCTAGAACAGTTATCTTTACCCTGATTTCATTCACTGTGGAGTCTCAGACCACAGACCTCAGCAGGAAAAAGTAAGACAGCCGTGAAGCCTGCATCTTAAAAAACAAGTGAGCAGTGTAAACGTCCATGCTATTCTGATGGTTACCCTTTAAAGTACCTTTTGCAGCCATCTGTAAATAAATTAATCATTTTGTGGCTTCAAATTTGTAATGCATAACAAAACAATTTACAGTTTAATAATAATCAGGCAACTAAAGAGATGTGTGTTTACCTTTTTGTTTGTCAGAGCACATAGAAGTATTATTCCCTCTAAGAATGGTCATTGAAAAAGGTTGGCAGGCATGCATGGATCAGTAGAGTGCCCACAGACTCTCTTGCCCTACAGTTCTGTCATAGAGAACCAATTGGTTCAGCTAAAATTCTCTGTTCTTGGGAAAGGTGATGAACTGCACAGGCAGGATAGTCTCAACAGGTCACCAGCACACACACACACAGATGAATTCAATATCTCTTTGATATGTGTATTGAAGAATGTCACAGCATGTCATTAAAAGCTGAAGCTAGTGTTTCGGGACCTCCCAGGGACCCTTCATCAGAGCCACATAGTGACAAAGTCACTATGTGGCTCTGATGAAGGGATGCACAGCGCCATGATGAAGGGATGCAAGGCTCTGATGAAGGGATGCACGGCACCATCCGTGTGATCACCATGAGCACCACCACCATTGGAAGGTTGCAGACTGTAAGGAGTGTGGGTGGTTCTTGGAAACAATTAGAACTGCACAGGCAAGCATACCGTCGCTCACTCACTTTCCGATCATCTCCCTGCAGAGACTGACAGTCACCGCACCCCGCAGGGATTTCCCCCCTCCCCACACCGATCCTGCAGCGATGAGTGGAGGAACAGACAGGGAGGGGGTGGGCACAGCTGGTTCTACCTCTAGATTGGCAGAGGGCAGAGCCCGCTGTCACTCACGCAGCTGGGTGGATCTCGACAGCATTGTCAGGATCCGTCCTGGCTGCGGCGATCTCGGTATATAGTGAGCAATAGCTCGCTATATACTGAGCTTTTGGTCACGGGAGGACATTACAATATGTCCTCCCATGACCCTTATGAGAACTATGGGATAAAAAGGTTACCCCATAGTTCTCTTTTTAAAAAAAAGTAAAACATTTACATTATATCTAAATATCTAAAGGGTAAACTTTTTTGTTAGTTTTGGATAGGGTGTGCAATGGTTAGGTTAGGTTGTCTATCAGGTTTTTATTGCTATCTCTACTGGGGAGATTCACCCTCTCTATTTGACCTGGTGACCACTATCAATGGGGAAGAAGGGGATGGGAAAGCCAAACTTTTACATTTCTCATCAGAACAGGAAGTAAGGGGAAATCTCTGAATGGAAAAGTAGTGAACACTCTCTTAGAAGGAGATTCAGCTCACTGTGGAGAAATGTTTACTTACTTCCTGTTGTGACTCCAGAACAGAAAGTGACAGGAAAGCAATCCAAAGGGATGCATTAAAAGCAAAAACAAGAAAACCTAACCTTTCAATTCTATCCAAAACTAGAAAGAAAAAAATCTGGGCCTCAAAAATACATGAACCTTGCAAGAAGAACTCTCCCACCTTCCCCCCTTAGTTACTGATCCTGGAATGTTCCCATAAAAGTGTGCAACAGGAAATACAACACTAAAATATGTAAATTAAAATACCCTAACTGCGCTTTGTGACTATTTCCTTTTTTTATATACATTATTATTTCAATAAAACAAGTATTGATTTGAAGATATAAACTGACTTGGCCCTCTGGTAATTATTAGCAAACATCTGTTGAGCTTTTATTCAAACTGAATTACCTGTTAAAGGCTGTAAAACCTAAAATATCTGGCAGACAGTAAGAAGTTATTATAGTATGGATTGCAATAGTCATGGTAGTTACTGTATATATGCCTATGAAAATGAGGAGAAACAGATCTTGTTTTCATAAGCTTCACATTGTTTTACATGTTAACACAAAGAAAGACAAGTACTAAGCACTGCATAATGATTGTAATGAGGTTCATTTTCAGAAACAGGTTTGTGAGGTCCTACAGTTTCAATACTATGGGGGCTATTCACAAAGGAGCCGAAGAATCCAGCCGTAGCTTCGGATGATGCTTTGGCTCTCTTCAGCCGCCGGAGGCCTTTGATTCAGTCAAACCGAAGGGCTGCTGTGTGGGTTATTCACAATAGCCCGTACAGCAGTTGAAGGCAGCCGAGCAGCTCAGCCATGCCAAAGGCATTTGCTTCGGCTCGTCTGAGCCGAAGTGTCAGCCGAAGCGGGGCGAATGGCTGGCTCCGCCCAGTTGTATTGACAGATCAGCGTCCCCAAATAACCTGGGGACACTGAACTGTCATTAAACAAAATCAACTGGGCAGAGCCGGCCGTGACGTCACGGCCGGTCCACCCAGTTGTTATTCATTGGACAGGACCTGCTAGAAGACTCTAGCAGGTGCCGACCAATAGGAAACCGTTGTTACTGTTACTGTAACTGTTACTGCTAGTTCTGCCCAATTGTTTTTTTTTCTTTTTTAGAAAAACTTTCTTTTTTATTTTTACTATTGATTGACATTTTTTAAATATTTTTTCAACTTTTTTTAACACTTTTCATTGATTTTCTATTCTGCCCGATACCATGGAGGTGCTCGGCGGCATTTGGCTATTCACTCACTGCTGTTTGCCCCCTATGTGAAAAGGGGCAAATGGCAGCGAGTGAGCTGCCGGAGCTTCAGGTCAGCCGATCCAGATATTGGATTGGCTGAGTCGAAGTCCAGCACAGACTGAAGTGCAGCCAAAGGCAGCTGATGTACGGCTGAGATCAGCCGTATTGAGCAGAATGTGTTTAACTCACTTCACTTCGGCTGGTTTATTAACTCGGCTCCCTTTGGCAGCTTTGTGAATAACTCTCTATGTATGCATCATTTCTTATGGTTGCGTAAGGCTGGGTTCATACCTAGGCGTATTGAATATGTGCGTTTGTCGCGCGTTTCACGTCGCACGTTTTTACCGCGATTCGCGGTAAAAAAACGCGTGACAAACGCCCGTTTCCGAGGGCTACTTGGCTGTATCCCAATGGAAACGCGAGACCAAAACGCCCCAAAGAAGTACATGTACTTCTTTGGGCGTAGGCCGTTTTGTATCGCGTTCGGACGGGCGGAAATACGGCAAGGTGTGAACCAGACCCATTGAATACAATGGGATTTAGATGTTTGAGCGTTTTGTAGAGCGTTAGTCGAGCGTTGAACGCGCTACAAAACGTTCAGGTGTGAACCAGGCCTTACTGTGTGCACTAGTTGTTCCTTTGTCTCCATTTGCATTTAGAGCTTTTTTTCATATATTGTTTTTATTTATTTATAGATCATAGCTGATCAAGTTTCAGATGAACATTTGAAAGAAGGACGTTTGTATCCACCTTTGCAAACAATAAAGGAAGTCTCAGTTAAGATAGCTGTCAAGGTAAGCTGCATTATTACTAATTATTATGTAGATATTATAAGGGTTTAATAAATATTAAACTGGTTATTGAAATGCTGATATATTATAAACCACAGGTTGTTGTTTGAGAAGTATATCATGTACACCTCTAAAATATCACTAGGGAAAACTGTACCAAGGTTATTTTGGTGCTCTCCTTGTCAGTTATACATGGAAGCAGACAAGAGTTGGAAATCAAGGTACGAGGCTCTGTACCTAATCGGAAGATGCTGTCATTTTAATGTCCACTTTACAATTATTCACTGCATATCAAAGCTATAAGAATGTATCTCTGGCATTGTGAAGTGAATTGGCACACAAGGAAATAGGTGCCACGTCAAACACCCTTTGTGCTTAGAATATACTATACCACCATCTATTGCAAAAATATTGTGGTACAAATGTACAGTAATATATTTCTTAAGGGGTTTAGATTGTTTGTACTCATCCACTATAATCATCACTATAAAATTTTACCCAATCAAGATCTTGCATCATTGGGATATGCCTGCCTTCTTAAAATAAAAAAAAAGCTTCCAATCTGCAAAATATGTGTCTTGCAACATGAAATGATCAGTATCTACAGAGTATAGGGCTATTTAAACATGCAGGCTGCATATCAAAGGGCTCAGACCTTCCCTCTAAATAATATAAAGCCACTCTTCATGTACATAAGGATTTTGAAAAGAACTTCAAGTAGAGAATGGAATACTTCTGATAAGTTGGCATGGGAGTTGGCATGAGAGTGCCCTATAAATACTGGGGTTTTTGTGTCACCATACCCATGTTAATGCAGCTGTGTACCTGCATTCACTTATGAGGATATAAAGAAAACGAAATCATAAAACATCCATTTAAAATTATTGAAAATCTAGACAACATACTATGATTGCAGGACCAGTAGGATTTCGTGAAATGAAACCCCATCTAATTTTTACATGACATAGCTGTAAATAAACCCCTTAACATATGTTCCAGAACACTGGATCATTTTTAAATAAACCATTTGATAAATGTACCAGTACCGCTGTTGGCTGTTTTCCCAGTGTCTGTACGACTGATTAATCCATGGCAAATATCATAGATCATTCTTGGATATGACAGATTTTCTGTTAAGGATTATTATTATTATGTCTCCTTACAGATTGTAGAGAATGCGTACAAACATAACACAGCGTCTGTCTTTCCGGAACCTTCAGATAAGGAGGCATTTGTCCGATCTCATATGTACAGTACTGAGTATGACCAGTTTGTGGAGGATTCCTACTCCTGGCCAGATGAAGCTATGAAAGTTCAGACGGTCACACTGTAAACTCATCAGTAGCACAATGGTGGAAGGAGATCCTTATAATACTTTTAAAAGCTTACTTGTGTGAAAACATTTTGTATTGATTTTTACATTGAAAATTAATTATGTAAATCACCCTTTAAATAAAAATATAGTGCAGTGATTACAATTGTATTATCATTTGTTATTAATTTTTTTCCACCATAATTTTTTAATAGCAAAACTATTTTTGACATTCATTATACTTAATTTAACCAACACAAAAACAGGTAATGACAAACTAGGAAACAATTGTGCTTGCCTTCCCGTACTTCCCCTGCTTCATTTATCTGTGCAAAGTACAGTCACTGATGAGGTCATTTTAAACATCAGGGTATTGTAGGGCCAATGAAAGGTACATTTATCAATAAGGGAATATTATGAGGTCATTTGCAACATCAAAAAAATGTGAGTCCAGTGAAAAATGAATTTCATCATAAGGGAATTTGATGAGGTCATTTTAAACATTAGGATATTGTGGGACCAGTGAAAGGTGAAATTCATTATTATAGATTATTGAATTAGTCAAGTAGACAATTACGGAGGAGATATTTGTATATTATAAAGAAAAGGTAGGTGCACACCAATCATAACCTACAGTATGTTAGAAATTAAAGGGGAGTTCACTTTTTGGACCACCTTTCCACATTCACCCATATTCAGTAATATAGAGTTCCACATATACTTCTGAAAAGCTACTTTTGGTCAGAAGGCAGCCAGGGTCAGAAGGCAGTTACATGCGGTCCTAAGGCATTCATGACTTTCATAACAAGAAAGTACACACACACTGTACATAGCAGCAAACCTAATGATCATCTACAATTACATCTTTAATGACATAAACTGTCCAGCGTCCAGTGGCGTAACAATCGCCATAGCAACCCAGGCGGCCGCTATGGGGCCCGGGCACGGGGGCGCCCGGCCAGGGCCGCCTGGGTCGCTATGGCATGTGGGGGTGCTGGCTGTCACAGACACAGCTCAGCAGCGGCCACAGCGCATTTCTCCTCATAGCCGCTGCAGAGCTGTGTTAGTGACAGCCAGCCGCTGCGGCAGATGAGGGCGGTGTACGGAATGGAGGAGGCGGTGCCCGCCTCCTCTTACATCACTGACCAGCGACCTAAAAGCAGGTGGGGCCAGGAATGTAAGATAGGCGGGGCCCGTCTATAGCAGAGGAGGCGGGCCCGGGAACAGAACAGGAGTCGGGGCCCGGGGACGGAACAGGAATCGGAGCCCAGCGACCACAGAGGTGCTGACAGGTAAGAGATCTCAGATCCTGCAGAGCCCACTATAGAGAGTCTATGGTGGGCTCTGCAGGGTCACTCTCCACTGGGGCTCCGCAAGTGGCATAACTAGCAATCACAGGGGCCCATACAAAATTTTGCTATGGGGCCCTGTGATTTCTAGTTAAGCCCCTGCCAGCGTCCCACCAAGTTCACTGACATCACTGGTTTCCAGGAGCTCAGTGGGACACCAAGGCCAGTCCCGCTCAGCTCCAGGCAACCAGTGATGTCAGTGAGCTGGGCAGAAAGCCGCACAGAGTGTCACAGGTTGCTAAGAGCTCTTGGCAACCTTGGACACTGTGGCCGCCCCCAATGAGATACTTCCTGAGGCAATCACCTTAGGCTAAAACAGCAACACGTTTCCAGGCACAATGACCAGCCAGCATGCAAAAAAACCTGTCTAACCACTAAGGTTAAAAGCAAAGGTTTAGATACACGTCTTTTGCAGAAAAAGTGAAAAACGCACAGCCGCGCCAAGGCACCTCTTATAGTGCGGTCCTAACTCTAAACTATGAGAGTCTCCATCTTGGAGCACATGGGTCAGAAGATTAAATTGGGTGCAGGTTTGTCAGGAGGAAGCCCAACCTCCCTTAAAGGCACAGGTACGCACAAGGGACCCCGCACATCACAACGGCAGCTGAGACCCCCCCATGCGTAACTGCACCTTAGGCTGCCCCATTATAGGGTTGGCCTGATCTGCTGACAGTGGCTCCTTCGTTTAAGGGCTGAGTGATTCATGTAACCACTTGTTAAGGTGCCCATGCACTGCTCGATTCTCGTACGAGAATCGCGGGAAATCCCGCGATCGTACAGTAATCGAGCAGTGTGAACGAAGACGTGCGACCGTTTCTACTGTACGGTCGCACGTCTTTTGTCTAAGGAGCACGCTAGAAAACCAGCCGAAAATCGTACGATTTTCGGGTGGTTAGAACGGTGCTCGGGAGACAAATGCCGAACGGGCCGGTGTGCGCACGCGCACACTGCCCGTTCAGCATTGCGGTCATCGGAAGCCTGCCCCTCAGGGGGGCGGGCTTGCGATGATCGAGAGTACGATCTGCCTGTCCAAGATGGGCAGATCATACGTTTTTTTAAGTACCTTACAACCATCGCAAGACTAAGGTCTTGCGATGGTTGTAAAGTGTATGGCCACCTTTATAGAGATCATCAATTGACACATTGCAACTATTTTCCTATACTGTAATTGGTTGCAGCTGTTACATATAGAGAACTGGCTCTCCATGTCAATCCATTCCTATTTAACCTCTGGTTAATTCTAATTAGCCCTTATTTCCTCCCTAAGGCCAGTTAAGATGTTGGATTTACTTTGCTGGGCTACAGAATGTGATGGCAGATTTGTAAGTACAAAGCTATTGTTGTTGAGAGCTGGACATATTGTCCAGGTCAGAAAGGCACTTGAACTATGTAGTAATTGTGGACAGGATTACATTTTATATTTTGTGTTTGATGCATGAAACCCTGCCTATCTTTATTTGAGTCTGGAAACCCAATAAAGCTGGTTGCTACCAGTTTAAAACCTAAACTACTAATTGGACTCTCACTACTTTTACAAACTCTTCTGTTGAAGTTGTTCACACTTTAAAGCTAAACTCCAGCCTTACTCTTTTTTTACACATGCTCCTCTCCTGTACTGAGTTTGCTCCCTCTCATTGCACTCTCACGGTGTGCTTTAGAAGCTTCAACAAATTAAAAAGAGCCTACCTCATATTCTGGCTGGAGGACATTCAGTATCCTCCAGCACTTTTCTCCCAAGCATGACTGTCCCTTGCCCATTCCTTTCATTCATTGAATTGCAGTTCTTTCAATTATAAAGGCTCTGCATCACCTGTGGGCCATACCTAGGCAGTTTGCATACAAATTTAGTGTGCTTAGGAACGCTGATTGCTTCAGACTAATACCCTTCCATATAGGTGCTTGGGTATTTGCATAACTCCTCCCAAGGGACAGTCCACTGCTAGCATCAGAATACTGTGGCAGGGTGCTGTGATGTTTTCAGGAAGCACCCTGCTGGCCCTCTCACCAGCCATGACCTGCCTGACTTGCACAGTGAAGCACCGAGACCCAGTGATGCCATTATTCACTATATATTAGTTGTTTTCAACATGCACATCAGCGTGGTAAGATTTCAACATGTTTTGCATTTAGCTTCTTTAGGGTCATAGGTATTTTCCAAAATCACACAGATACAGAACCTGTTGGGTCTCCTATATCTCTCCCCCTTCAACTTGTCCCACTAGGAGAGGCTCTGACTTGGATCTGTGGCAGCCACCTTATGTACACATCTAAATTTGGAAATCACTTCTGTTCCCATAGAAGCTATGTGTGAATCCTGTTGAAGTCGTGCCACACTGATATCCATGTTGAAATCAACAAACATATATTGAACCATGGAATGGCTATTCACATGAATGAAATAACTGTCAGGGCTCAAAATTTCAAGTCCTGAGCTACTAGCCAGGCCTTAAGAGTTACTAGCCACCAGTTGCCCCACCTAACCCTTACCCTGGCCCGACCTTAACTCCACCCCTAAACACACACCCTTAAAAAATCTTGTGATAATTCTTACCTTATGATAGTTGCCGCTTGTAAACGGCAGATTAGGGATTCCTGCTGCAGGAAAACGCAAGTTCCTGACATAGGAATCTATAATCACACCTGAAATATACTGTAGGTGTGAATGGGGCCTAATATACACATACACTAAAGGTGCCCATACACCTGCCGATTATCGTACGATAGTTGTGGGTGATCCCGCGATCGTACGATAATCGGCAGGTGTATGGGCAGCGTGCGACCGCTTCTACTGTAGGGTAAAGCAGAGACACCGGCACTCCAAATTTGCAAAATACGTCTATTTATTGACGTGCATTGTGGTAAAAAACAACGAACGTTTCGGGGTCACAAAGGATCCCCTTCATCAGTTAAAACATACAGTGTAAGTGCACATAAACACAGCTGATATATAGCCCCAACCCTAGTCAGAATGGCCAATCATCAACCTCCACATTGACCCAATGACATCATGTTCCCACCAATTTTGATAGCATGAAAGTGACAGATTATAAAACACAATAAATCACAATATATGTGATATAACGTGCATACATTCGTCTGGAAAGAAAGATACTTAATATATGTTTGCCTAAAAGGAAAACTAGCGATATACCCTAGCATCAATCTTCCATACATAATGGATCGCATGGAGCACAGATTGGGTACGATTTTTGGCGGGTTGGTGGCGTGGTCGGAAGACGAATGGCGCACTGGCCGGTGTGCGCAAGTGCACACTGCCCACTCAGCACCGCAATCATCAGAAGCCCGCCTGTCGATCTGCCTGTCCAAGATGGGCAGATCGTACAAGATTTTAATGACCTTACAACCATTGCACAATGAAAGTCGTGCGATGGTTGTAAGGTGTATGGCCAGCTTAAAACACAATAATACACTTCTCAACGTTACACCACCACCACCACCACCAATTTTAATAATACACCAAAAATAATACACCCCCCCCGTTATAAGCCCCCCCCCACATCAGGGAGGAGGCTGTGAGCAGGATCGATCCCAGGTTATCTGGGTGTGATTAGTGAGGTCTGAAGCAGATCTCACTAATCCGACACAGATGCAGACCGTGGAGCTGCTCCTGCAAGTCAGGTACGCAGTCTGCGACCATGTGCCTGACATGTCAGCTGTCGGCCGGGTCACATAGTACCGC